TGGTGATTCCTCAAGGACCTAGAAATAGAAATTCCATTTGATTCAGCAATCCCATTACTGGGTATATACCCAAAGGATTATAAATCGTTCTATTATAAGGACACATGCACACGAATGTTCATTGCAGCATTGTTTACAATAGCAAAGACCTGGAACCAACCCAAATGCCCATCAATGATAGATTGTACACAGAAAATGTGGCACATATACACCATGGAATACTATGCAGCCATAAAAAACGATGAGTTCGTGGGCTTTGTAGGGACATGGATGAATCTGGAAACCATCATTCTCAGCAAACTGACACAAGAACAGAGGATCAAAAACCACATGTTCTCACTCATAGGCGGGTGTTGAACAATGAGAACACGTGGACACAGGGAGGGGAGCATCACACACTGGGGTCTGTGGTAGGGGACTGGGGGAGGGACGGTGAAGGGCGGGGAGTTGGGGAGGGATAACATGGGGAGAAATGCCAGGTACAGGTGATGGGGAGGAAGGCAGCAAACCACATTGCTATGTATGTACCTATGCAACAATCCTGCATGTTCTTCACATGCACCCCAGAACCTAAAACACAATAAAATATTTTTCAAATGCACATCCATTTATGACACCTATGAGACAATTGAAGATTTGAACACTGACTTGAAGATCCATTGATATTAAGAAATTATTGTTTTTGAAAATGTGAAATAATAAAATTAAGACTTTTTTTTTTAGAGAGTCCTTATCTTTTGGAGACATATACTTAATTTGCAGATAAAAATAACTTGATGTTGGGAATTTTTTTCAACATAATATGGGCGTTGGGGGACCTGGGTGTGGATATGGCTGTAACGAGATATATCACATTGGTCATTGTTGAAGCTGGGTGATGGGTATATATGGGGGTTCATGATGCTGTACTTTTATATGTTTGAATCTTTCCATAATAAAAAAGTTTTTTTAAAAAAAGAAAGAAAGAAAGAGAAAGAAAGAAGAAAGAAAGAAAAGAAAAGAAAAGAAAAGAAAGGAAAGAAGGCCGTCCTCGGTGGCTCATGCCTGTAATCCCAGCACTTTGGGAGGCCAAGGCGGGTGGATCATAAGGTCAGGAGTTCAAGACCATCCTGGCCAACGGTGTGAAACCCCGACTCTAGTAAAAATACAAAAATTAGCCAGGGGTGGTGGCATGTGCCTGTAATCTCAGCTACTTGGGAGGCTGAAGCAGGAGAATCCCTTGAAACTGGGAGGCGGAAGTTACAGTGAGCCGAGATTACGCCACTGCACTCCAGCCTGGCGACAGAGCAAGACTCCATCTTAAAAAGATGTGTTTTTATTAATTAATGTATTTATGTATTTATTTTTAGAGACAGGGTCTCGCCATGTTTCCAAGACTGGCCTTGAACCCCTGGGCTCGAGTGATCTTGCCTCAGCCTCCTGAGTAGCTGTAACTACAGGTGCCCACCACTGTGACTGGCCTTTGCCACAAATACTTTTCTAATTCTCCCCTTAGGAACTGGAGCTGGCTGGGCATGGTGGCTCATGCCTGTAATCCCAGCACTTTGGGAGGCGAAAGCTGGCAGATCACGAGGTCAGAAGATCGCGACTATCCTGCCTAACAGGGTGAAACCCTGTCTCTACAAAAAATAAAAATGAAAAACAAAAAAAAATTAGCCGGGCGTGGTGGCACACACCTGTAGTCTCAGCTACCCGGGAGGAAGAGGTTGCAGTGAGCCAAAATCGTGACACTGTACTCCTGCCTGGGCGACTCCATTTCAAAAAATAATAATAATAGTAATAATAAAAAGAGCTGGAGCTAATTCCCCTCCCTCTGAATTTGCTGTTTAAATTTGTTCTGGCCTTAGAGAATTGCTTGACCAATAGATGGCAGCAGAAGTGAAGCTCCAGGGCTTCCCGGGCTAAGTCATAAGAAGCCTTCTAGCTTCTGTTTGGCAATCTTGGAACAACCTCTGGATGTCCTGGGCTACCATATGAGAAGTCAGCTTACCCCAAGTCAGTCATTCTGGAGGTCATGCTCCGGCAAACAGTCCCGGCTGACTCAGTCTTCAACCCAACCCCGCCAAGCCTCCAGACTGGGGATGAGAGGACTTCACTTGCACTTCCCAGACCGGCCCATCCGCTGGGTGAAAGCACAGTCACCCAGCTGAACCCTGCCTGAATTACGAACCCATAACATCAGGAGATACAATTCAATGGCTGATACTCTAAGCTACTGGGTTTTGAGGGTTTGTTTTGTTTTGTTTTGTTTTGTTTTTGGGAGGGAGTCTCGTTCTGTCACCCAGGCTGGAGTGCAGTGGCATGATCTGGGCTCACTGCAACCTCCGCTTCCTGGGTTCAAGCAATTCTCCTGCCTCAGCCTCTGGAGTAGCTGGAATTACCGGCATGCACCACCACCTCTGGCTAATTTTTGTATCTTTAGTAGAGACGGGGTTACACCATGTTGGCCAGGCTGGTCTTCAACTCCTGACCTCAAGTGATCCGCCTGCCTCGGCCTCCCGAAGTGCTGGGATTACAGGCGTAAACCACCATGGCTGGCTGGTTTTGAGGTAGTTTTTAAGACAGCAATAAGTGGCCAGAACATAGGTTTATAATATGTAACAAACTATTTTTTGTGAGCAAAGGAATAATAAACACAAAAACCAGGATACTGTTTCTTGAGGGAAGTAGGGGCAGGTGGGTAGAGGCAGGGGCAATGAGATGGGGAAGAACACAGGTAGAACCAAAGATATTTCCTAAGAGCCTACTTCAGAGGTTGGGTGTTGTGGTGGGTTTTTTCTCACTGTTTCTAGGCTGGAGTGCAGTGGCACAATCACAGTTCACTACAGCCTTGACCTCCCAGACTCAAGAAATCGTCCCACCTCAGCCTCCTGAGTAGCTGGGACTACAAGCAGGCACCACCATGCCTGGCTAGTTTTTTTTCTTTTTGTATTCTTTGTAGAGATGGGGTCTTGCTATATTGCCCAGGCTGGTCTTCATCTCCTAGGCTCAAGTGATCCTCCTGCGTTGGTCTCCCAAAGTACTGGAATTACAGGTGTGAGCCACCGCACCTGACTGGTTTTTATTTTTTATTTTCATTTTTAGAGACAGGGTCTCAGTTTGTCACCCAGGCTGGAGTGCAGTGGCACAATCACAACTCACTGCAGCCTCCAACTCCTGGGCTCCAGCCTCAGCCTCCCTTGTAGCTGGGACTACATGTAGCTGACACTACACGTAGCTGACATGAGCCACCACACTTCACCCCAATTTCTACTTCTGTAACAAGGAGGGCAGGTGGTGAAGTGCTATTTATCAATGTTGTAATTAGAAAGGAAATGGTTAGGGCAGAGATGCAGACAAATTGCTATTTTGCCATCTTGCCCAAGACAGTAGTAATCATCAAGCCTGCACAAGTATAAAAGCCATTAGCCAGTAATTGACCTGCCTATTTCTTCCATCCACAAGAGGCTAATTTTAAATATAAAAATGCAGAAAGATTAAAAATGATGGGCTTTTTTATGCTGATAGTGCTCTTGTAAACCTGGTGAACATTCTTGAAACTTACTAGACTCTCTGTAAGAAGTTAAGGAATCACCAACCCCACAAAGTGACACAGTACAAGAAGGGCACAGATTCTCTGTATGTCCGGGGAAAGCGGCATTATAACAGGAATCAGAGTGGCTATGGTGGACAGACTAAGCCGATTTTCTGGAAAAAGGCTGAAACTACAAAGAAGATTGTGCTGAGGCCTGAGAGCATTGAGCCCATGATGTCACAGAATGCAAACATTTTGAATTAGGAGGAGATAAGAGACAAAGGGCAGAATGATCCAGTCTAGCATGATCTTTTTTACTGTGAAGAGAATACAATCTTGAGGTTATGTTCACTTCATTCAGTTACAGTTGACATTTACAAAAAAAAATGTTTTAGACAGAGTCTTGCTCTGTCGCCCAGGCTAGAGTGTGGTGGTGAAACCTTGGCTCACTGCAACCTCCACCTCCCACGTTCAGGCAATTCTCCTGCCTCAGCCTCCTGAGTAGCTGGGATTATAGGCATGTGCCACCACGCCTAGCTAATTTTTGTGTTTTTTGTAGAGATGGGGTTTGTGCATGTTGCCCAGACTAGCCTCAAACTCCTGGCCTGAAGTGATGTGCCCTAGACCTCCCAAAGTTTTAGGATTACAAATATGAGCCACCACGCCCAGCCTACAGTTGCCCTTTGGGGAGGGAATAAGGTAC